ATGTGTTCTTGCACATAATTATAAAGCTATTAGTTTATTCTATGCAAACATATATGCTAAGCTCAAATTTATCATCTTCAAAAGCCACCTCTGCTCTTGCTATGAGTGTTTAGATTGCCCATGTTTTAAATTTCCGCTTTTCCGAAATCCCTCTTTAGTTCCGACTTGCATACTATTTTTGTGTAAATCCAACTTTTCCCCTGCATTTTTGAAAGATAACGTCTCCCAACAACCCCATGAAAACCACCAGCAATGATGTACTAATTAGTTTATGGGAATAACTTGATGGGTCCTCTGGATTTATATTTGTCTTTCCTTTATTTTTTTAAATGTCTCAGCCCATGCATCTTTTTAAATTATTGGATTATAAATTGACAGTGTTGAAAAAATGCTGAGTACAGAAATTTCTAGAGCAGATTTTCTTAGGCCAAGAGCTTCCTTTGTGGATAACCGTAAGTATCCCATAGTATTTTGAAAATAGGTGTTTTTTTTACCAAACATAAAAAATATAATACTAAATAAAACCACACATGACCCCACCGATTTTTATACTGTGCCCCCCACTGCCAGAGTCTGACACCATCAGCCCCCACCACTGCCACTCTACAAAGAATTATTGTTCCAACGTGAGATAGCTGATTCCAAGTGCACACATCAGGGAATGTTCCCCTTCCTCCACCTTACTCTATAACCCCCAACAACTCAGTTCTAGAGATCCTAAAGGAAGGCCTGGAGAGCCATCTTTACATCTTTATACATTTTTAATGACAGAACAATCATACAAAGACCCTTTTGCACAAAGGTGAATTGCTTCATGTTTTTTTATTAAATGATACATCAAAAGTACAAAAGTTGCCTAGGTACAAACAAGTTACAGAATAATGCTTATGAAAATCACACATGTGACAATTCTGTTTAGCTTCTATTTTGGCCATTTTTTATCAGTATCCAAAATGCTAAACTCCAGCATTTTTTTCTTAATCTAGTGCTGCATGATTGTAATTCCTGAGGTAAACTTAGTGTCCACTGCCAACATCTTTGGATGTAAACCAAGTCCTCTGAGAAAAATTCAGATATTTATATTCCCACATACAATGGAGTTCATAATAATAATCAGATACTACAGATATCATTAAAAATGGAAATAAGCCCTTGTAATATTTCTATATCTCACTTATGTACTGTAATTTTAGCCTACCAGCAAGGCTTCTCAAAATCCTCTGACTTGTAAAGTATGGTTTAGGGGGATTTCTTTAATAATTTTCTATATTCAGATAAAAATTCTTGATTAATCTGGACTAAACATTAGCATCAACTATAAAATCAAAGGTTTCAATAATTTCCAAAGGTAGCACAGAATCGATACCCTAAAGAAAATGCCGATTTTGCTCACTACAGCCCCTACCATACTCCCTGTGGAAGATGTTTAAGCTAAATGTTGTCAATGTACAGGCACCCATGCGGTTGTATTCTGAATATACCTTATGACTTTTACCAGTCAGGTGCTGTCTACCATAACAGTCAGTTTTCAGTGAAATCAATCTGTAGACTCTACATTAAAAAAAAATCTTAATAAATATCAAAACAGCATGTTAGAGATAATACTATAATGGCTCTTACTATTCTCCTATCCCCAGAATAAAAATTGACATAGATTTAGAAAGACTTTCAGAGACCAAATAATTAGGGGTTGGCCCTTTCATAGCTCATCTTATAATTGCACAACTGAAGGCCACATGGAGGTTAAATAATGCCAACTCTTGAAAGGTACTTTCTAGCATTCTCCTAAAGCCTGTCTCTTCATGCTGATTCCACATTCTTCATGTAATAAACTCTTTGTTTTACTTACAGCAAAATTAAAAGAATTAGTTCCCCCTCTACATTTTAATTAAATCTTCCAGTAAAAGCCAAAATGATCTAAGGAAAAGAAAAAGTACATTGTTACCTAGTTTAAAAGTCCAATTTTAGATAGTAATTCAGATGCTTGAATTATAAATGGTTATCTGAAAAATAGCTAATCAAAAACAAAACTAACTTTATAGAAATTTTAGGTTTTTTCTGGCTTTGATTTTTTTTTTTTAAACATAAACTTTTCTACAAACCTACATAATTCCAGCCTGAAGTAAATTTAATTAATGTATCGTGCTAAAGAGCAGATAATATGGCTAGAAGGACTTGGAGGTTTTTGGGTTTTTTTTTAAAAGAACGTATAGGGTACTACAAAATCCTTTCATTCCTCACAAATAAAAGGACCTTTAAAATACTTCCTAAAAACAATACATTTTCTTTCAAGTCAAATCCAATAAGCTAGATGACAGAGTTAGCAATTATTCACAAATGCAGTAAAATATGAAAGACTAAATATTTTGCAGAAACTCAAATTTCTACAAAGTACAAATATTAGTAATGCAGTTTGGTAACAACAAAATAAATAAGTTATTTAATACATACAAGATAAAAGATGCCCCCAATGGAAATATCATCTCTTCACAGTTTGAGAAATATGAAGATTTTCAATATTAGTATTTTTCCCCTTCTCTTTTCTTAGGTGATCATCTGAAATTAACAGAAACGAATGTCAATACTTATCTCAAGTCAAAATAGGCAGTAGGCAGACATAACTACATATATTTCAGGATGTTAATATTAGTATTGTATGAGTTCTTTAGATGGTTTAGGAAAATGAAAAAAACAAATTTTTAAACTATTAAAAAAATCAGAAATGTTTAGTACTAGGGACTCTAATTATTTAAAAAAATTTTTTCTTGACTTTTTTTTTTTAATAGAGTATCCCCTGGAGTAAACCTACAGGTAAGCATCTGCAACTTTCTTGTGTTATATGTAACAAATAGAATTCACAAGAAAGGACAGTGTTCAGTTAGCATTCTGAGGAATGTCAAAGCTCTTCAATTAAAAAGAAAAAGAAAAGAAAACCACCCCGCTTTCCTCAAATAGAAATGTCTCCCAGCCACACCCTCTTGTGGCAAGAAGAAAACTAGCATAATTTACATTTTCCTACCCAAATCAGAAAACTACCCAAGAACTTGTAGAAAAAGTTCCTCAGCCAAAAACAAAACGATAAAGTTCCATGAGAGTTCAGAGGAGCCTGTCGCCCCTCTGACCACCTACTGTGCTCCAGCAGTAGTAAAGAAGGGGCCCCGGTCACTTCTGCTCAATCTCTTTTGTCATGTGGGAAAAAGGGATAAAGGGCAGAAAGAAGTGTTCTAGATTAAAAGAACCTGAAGAAACTTAGTACTCAACATGACAACAATGAAATGCACAAACTTAATTCCCAAGAAAATGTGAAACACTGTAACTGAAAAAAATAACCTTTTTTAATGATAATTTTCGTAACATGAGAAAAATACAAATTTAGACAAGTTGTTAGAAACATGCAATTTTAGCACCAAAAATACATACTGGATTTTCTAATTCTGAAGACAATTTGTACACACAGTATTATTAATTCACAGCTGATCATCCTCAGAAATAATGTAAATACCACTATAGGTCTGGATCACAAATGAAAAACAATCTCCCTCAATTTCAGGCAGCTTTACTGGACAAAGAAAAATTAACAGTATCTTTAGGACACAACCATCTTAGGTATTCTATAAAAGCATTATTAAAAAATGAAGTATGTTATTGACATACTTCTTCACATATGTGCATAAAGTTGAACTGATAATGATGTTGTGTATTATTTAGTATCTGGTCTTTTACCTATAGCAAAAACTACTTTGCCTCCAATATGACAAGCACTATTATCAGCAGCACAAATGAACCAGGTACTATTTCAAAGGTAAATGTGCCTATACACACATGCTCTTCATTTTTTTCAGTACTTTGAATGCTTTGATAAAAGAAGTGTTTTCATGTTGGCATGCTCTGGACTTGTTCTCAGATAGAAGAGAATTTAAGTTTACTGTTTTATATTTCAGCTGGATGAGCTTCGTAGAGATAAGGTATTGTAATCTGAAGAATAAATATTTTAACATCTTCATAACCTTGTCAATGTTGTGAAATAAAACATTAAGTATCCTTCAAACAGTGACTAGAGTTGAGGAAGGAAATGGAATGCTTAAACATATTAGTAGAACATAACGCAGTTTTTGGCTGACAATTCACAAGGCATTGCACAAAGAGGCCAAGAAAATTTTTGATGATCAAGAAAAATAATTTGCAAAATCAGTGTTCTTCTATTTGTTCAGCAGTCATCCTCATTTCTGAGTCTTCCACAGAGCTTTCCACAGAATAGGCACCCAAAGCTTCATTGACTTGAACTTGACTCTCTGATGTCTCTGGCACTTTACACAGAAAGGACCCACAGTAATTAATGCACTCTCTCATTCTCTCCTCCCCTCCCCACCCCACCCTGCCCACTGTGATATAAGACTACCAATAGTTAATACATGACCTTCATCTCAGGAGAACTTAGTTAAGAAATACTTTTTATTACATTACCTAGAACTTTATTAGTCATTACTCAGGAATATTAAGGAAACTGATTATAAGAAGCTTACAAGTCACAAAAGTTACTTCTCAAAAGGCTATATTTCCTCATGGGACTGAAAATACAAATGTGATGGGTTTGCTGTGTTAACAAGGGTTAATGAGTACAATATCCACTGGTAACAGTGAAATAGGGGAACCGGCATTGTCATTTATTCTTGGTAAGCATAAACTGGTAAAAGCCTTTGGGAGAAAAATTAGGCAATAGTAGACTATTTTAAATACACATATGCTTTGATCCAGCAATTCTACTTCTAGGCATCCACACGAGAAATACTTGTGTGGACAAAGAAATAACACTACACTGAAATGCTGTAAAAGCAAAAAATAAAAAACAGAAAAGTACATCAGTAAAGAGTGATTAGCAATACTATGGAATACTACACAAAGTTAAAAATGAGGGAGAAGTAGATCTACATATATACTGACAAGTAAAAAAAAGAAGCAAATTATAGAATAATGTGTATAGCAACAGTGCATACAGGGCTTGGCAAAAGTGGGTTTACAGTTGTTCATATGGAAAAAGACATGCAGGTTACGATTACTACAACAGCTTTATTAACCAAAGGAATGTCGCAATGGCACGGCACACTCGGATACAATCTCGTGAGTGCTCAAATTGCTCGCCTTCATCATCTACACATTCTTGTAGTCTTGCTATACTGAAGCACATTTTGGCATAGAGTTCTTACCTAAATACTAATGCAGTAATGCATGGTTCAAAATTCAAAAGGAACGTGAAAAGGGTTACAAACGTGAAGTTTCTTTACTCCGGTCTCTTAAGCACCCATATCTCCTCCCCAGACACAATATACCAATTCCTTGCCTATTCTTGCAGATATTCTATCCACTGCTTATTTTTCTTTGAAACTGGAGTTTAGAAGTTATGTAAAATTCTCATAATATTAACTGTTAGCAACATGGTTTTTATATACACTGAAGGAGCGAGCTTTGGAACAGAAAGAACTCACCACTGGAATGCTAGAGCCATCAGGGAGCCTACAGAGCACAAAGGGGTTTTTAAAAAAATGATTTTCCCCCTTTATTTTTGTGTTATAATTAAGTGTTTAATAACCTATTCTGAAATAGAGTTGCAATTTCCTGCTTCTGTTTGTCATCTTACTCAAAATTTTGTATACTTTTGGTTTTTTGTTTCACGTAAAAGAGCTCCTTTCATTTCTTATAATGCAGGTCTTGTGGTGATAAATTCCTTCAGCTTTTCTTTGTCTGGAAAAGCCTTTATTTCTTCTTCATATCTAAAGGAATAAAAATATGGAACGCTTCACAAATTTGTGTGCCATTCTTGTGCAGGAGCCATGCTAATTGTCTCTGTATTGTTCCAATTTTAGTATACAGGGTGGGGCAAAAGTAGGTTTACAGTTTTGAGTACACGAAACACAGTTTATTCTTATATTATTACTTATTAGTGTATTATTTTCCACACTAACAACTGTAAACCTACTTCTGCCCCACCCTGTATATAGTATTGAAATGCACACAAATGAGTTCTGAAGGATAACCACCAAGTTGCTAATGGAGGTACCTTCTATAGAAGACAGAGAAATTGGGGAGTGAGGAAGAGGCAAGAGAGAAGAGGTTAAAAGGCATTTTACATTATGTTATTTGAATGTTTAGAGATTTATTCATGTACTTGTGTTTTGTTTTGTTTTTTCAGGCACTAAAGACAGTTCCATATCTAATCCCTGAAAAGGGAACTAGGAAAACCCCATATACTAAATGGAAAAGTTACAGGAATGGCAATCAGAGGTGCTGATGCAGCTAAAAATGATCAGCTACAGCCTTTAGATGAGTCATTCACCTCTTAGTCTTGGTTTTCTCAACTGTGAAATAAGTAGCTGGGAATGATTTCCTTTCCAATGTTCCATCCAGCTTAGAATTCTAAGATATATGAAAGGACAACTCCTACTGAAGTCAGAAATAACCTGAAAAAGGCCACCAACTTTCAGATCTTAAGCTAATATTTAACATAATCAATATTGCTCATAGAAGCTTAAGAAAACTACAAAAGGCAATTCACATTTTAGATGTTTCCTAAAAGTTTATTTCAACATTCAAAATTTATTACATTTGTTTTGATAATCAGCTGTCTGAGCCCCACCAGAGTGTCCTTCTTAAAAAGAAAGATCAGCCCTGGCTGGTGTGGCTCAGCGGATTTAGTGCTGGCCTGCAATCCACAGGATTCCTGGTTCAATTCCCAATCAGGGTACATGACTGGGTTGCAGGCAAGGTCCCCAGTAGTGGGCGCACAAGAGGCAACCACACACTGATGTTTCTCTCCCTCTCTTTCTCCCTCCTTTCCCCTCTAAAAATAAAATAAATAAAAGCTTTAAAAAAAAATCAACTTTTCACCATTTAGTTCAGATTATCACATTTAAGTCCTATTGCTGATGTAATTGAAACTAAAAGCTCATTTAAAGAGTAAGCATTCTGGAAGAAATACGGGCTATTGTCCCAGGATTTTTTTATTTGTAGATACCCATCACTGTACCACAAAAAGTACCCTAAAAATGTAGGGGACACATAAACCTGTGACTTCTCTGTGTTCAACAATTTTCCCACTTTTTAGTCTTAGGAAAAAACCCAATGACTCAATAAAAAGCTATTTATTTAGTATGCCAAGGACCAAGCTGCTCCAGAAAGTACAAATTTATATGCAAATCAGGTTTTTCAATACTTCTGTACAGAAATTATCTTAAAATTTTGTCTAGTCATCCACCCACCTCCCTCCCCCACCCCCAAGATTCTCTTTCCAAAAAGCATTTTGTTTTTGGAAGATAAATAACACAGGTTAAAACTATTTTAGATATAGATGGAATTAAACTGACTCAAAAACTCAGGAAAAACTATTCCAAAGATAAAAATATAAAAGAAGAAAATATACTTGCTGACAGCTAAATGATAAATCTCAGAAAACTCACCCATTTGCTCTCTTCCACTAGGTTGTCTACCAAGATTTGGATTTGGAGGCTGAAGTGAAGATCCTTTCAGAATTGTATTTTGGATGCCATCCTTAATTCCATGCAAGAAATGAGCTAAAATCCCATATAAAAGAGGTCTATGGCAAGGAAGAAAACCAAAATCAATTAAATTTGCATAAATAGGAAAAGCTTAAAACATCGGTGCTTTAAAAGGTAGCCTCTGACACCAACATAACCAAGCAATTCACTAGTCTTAAGAGTACTGTTTAACCCTAAAGACAATTTTAAAACTCATAGAAGAAATTAACGACTTAAACCTCATCTAAACTGTAACATAATTTCCATCGATTCACAGGAATTCAGCTTTTAAACTCCAAAGTCCAATATAAAATTTCTCAGTGCCTAATACTGTCTGATACATAACAGGTACTCAATAAGCACTTACTGCATTAATAAATCCTTACATAGAGAGGGTCTTATATCCCAAGAGACACACAGCCTGGTTTCAAATCCTGGCTTTGCCACTTGGCCTCAGCAAGGTTCTTAAGGTCCCCAGCCTCTGTCATAAATGTTTCCCCCTCTATAAATGAAAGTAGTTGTAGTCCCTACCTCTTAGAGCTGTTATGGACTAAATGAGTTAATAAATGTCAAGTGTTGGAACTGTGTGCCTAGCACACACTAAATAGTATGTAAATATTAGCTATATAGGAGTTGGGTAAGAACAAATATTTTAAAAGCTACTTTACAGTTCAATATCACACTCAAGCATACCATATGACATTTTAGGTGAAATGTTCAAAAACTGTAAATTATTACACACATATTATTACCCTACCAACCACATTCAAGAAAGCCTTACTTCTGCCAGACCCCGTATATATATTCCCATTCTTGGTGCTAGAGACTTGGTACAAACTACAGGATAAAGGTGGTGTATGATTGTGGAACAATGTCATAAAATGATTTATGAACTGTAAAGTAGCATTTTAACTGGTATGTCATTTAAAAAATCTTTATGGTAAAACAACTATATCATGAAGAAGAATGAAAAAGGTCAGTGAATTTTTTGAGACAGAAAACATAAGAAATTTCTTAAATTTCTTGCTAGGAAGACTATTTTGAGCTATGTTCCCAGGTGCCTACATATTTTTTTTTTCTTTTCTTTCTTTCCTTCTTCTTCTTCTTTTTTTTTTTTTTTTTGCACACACCATTCAGGGATCCTCTGGAAAAAGTTTAAGAAACACTGAAGTAGGAAAAGAATTAAGAAACTACTAGAAAGTGGTTATTCTATTTTTTAAGAGTGTAGTTTTTTTGCAAATGGTGAGGGGAGAATTTAAGATGCAGGGAGGATCACAGAGCGGGCAATGAAATAAAAGCAGAGGGTTGATTTTCACTAAGTTCAGTGCTAAAAAGGAGATTAAGTAGTAGGCGGGAGTTGGAAGTTCATAGGTTTTGTTCGTTCGTTTTTTAAGAGGGGGAGATCTGAGTACATTGCTAAGTTGTAGTGAAGGGAGTAGTGGGGAGGAAGAGTTAAACCTCAGGAAAAAAATAATTGATAGAGTAAAAGCATCAGGAAAAAAAAAAAAGATGGCTCAAAAAGCCAAGAGGAGTGCCCCTTGGAAATAGGTAGGGCTGTTCAATCCTCTGAAACCACAAGAATTTTAGCTCGAGAGGGCAGACTTCATCTGACTGGTTTACTGCTGCATACTTTAGATTTGGTGTGGTGCTAGACACACACTACACACAAATAAATACCTGCTGGATTAAAATAAAACCACCACTAGGAGATTGTGACTCCAATATAACAGTATCTGAGAGTTCACTTTTAAAATAATTCTTACATTGTATTATCCTTCGATTCTTCAAATGCATTTAGTTCACGGATGAGAAATTGCCTGTCCAATGGAACTACAGGTTGACCAGATTCTGTGGGAAAAGGAAAATCACAAAAACACTGAGTCTTTACTAATGTAAAAAGCAAATGGGGGACCTGACAGGGTACCTCAGTCAGTTAGACTGTCTTCTCAATGCGCCACAGTTGCAGGTGTGATCCCCGGTCAGGACACAAACAAGAATCAACCAATGAAGCATAAATATGTGAAACAACAAATCGATGCTTTTCTCTTTCTTTCCTCTCCCTTTCTCTTAAAAATAAAAAAATCAATAAAAATAAATAAAATTTAAAAATAAAAAGCAAATATGATTTTGGTAAGAAACACACCAAATATACACATCTTTCAGATTTTGAAAAATAATGATGGCAGATCCAATTTAAGATTATATGACTTTCAAAGTATTTTTTAAATATATAACTTAATACAGTTTAACATAAATTCATTTTTAATCTAGTTCTTGGTTATTAAAATACTGTTTCTGCATTTAAACTACAATACTAGGCTTTGGAGGTCAATTTCTGAGAAGCCAGTGAATTAAACTCACAACAGTACCAATATCCATTTGGTGGCAATAATTCTAAAAATAAAATTAACCCGAATATTAAATGCTGGCAAAGAAATAGGGCAACTGGAAATCTCATACTTTGCTCGTAGTAGAGTAAAAATGGTACAGCCACTTTGAAAAACAGTCAAGCAGTTTTTTATCCAAGTAAGCACAAACTTATAACACACAACCCTGGAATCCCACTCTTAGCTCTTTATCCAATAATAAAAATGCATCCTCACACAAAAACCTTTGGTGAATGTTTATGACAATTTGATTCATAACTGTCAAACCTAGAAACAACCCAATGTCTATCAACTGACACAATGGAATGCTATATAGGGGAGGAAAAAACCCAGCATGGCTGAGTCTCAAATGCATTATGCTAAGAGGAAAGAAATTGACTCAAGTCTACATCCTATATGGTTCCATTTATAGGACATTCTAGAAAAGGCAAATGATAGGTTCAGATAAGAACAGATCAGTAGTTACTAGGGATGAAGGGCAGGCAAAGAAGTTGCCCACCAAGGGGCACAGAAAATTGTGTGTGAGGGGGATGTATATCATGGAAATGTTCTATATTGTTACCGTGGTGGTAGTTAAACAAACTGTAAGCACTTGGCAAAACCATACAACTTAATACTAAAAAAAGTAAAGTTTATTGTATATTACTTATACCTCAGATTAAAAAAAAAAGCAAAGGCATTTAATATGAAACTTGACTACTGTCACTGTATTTCATTCTAGGGGAGCTCAAGCTCAAGACACCCTATTAATGATATTTTCATAATTTTCTTTTCTGCATATTAATAGTATTATGTAGACATTTATAACAAATGGAGGAGAGTAGAGCTACTGATACTAAAGATTCTTAAATAAAAATCATCAGTCTTCATTCAGTTAAGATATATGCTTAATGTTAAATAACGGATTTGTAATGGAAAGTTCTGGCATCACAACGAATTCATTCTCTTTTCCAAAATTTACATCCTGATCTCTTTTCTTTGAGTAGGCACATCTCTAAGATATAAAATAGTTTCAAAGCACAGATTAAACCTTAAACAAGGGGATCAAAGAATGTACAGAGTAGGGCAAAAGTAGGTTTACAGTTGTTTGCATGGATATAATACAATAATTAATAAATAATAATACAACAATAAACTCTGTTGCCCTGGCCAGCTGGCTCAGCTGGTTGGAGCATCATCCCGTACACCAAAAGGCTACAGGTTCGATTCGGTCAGGGTGTGAACAGGAAGCAACCGATCGATGCTTCTCTCTCCCTTCCTCTCTCTCTAAAATCAATAAATAATCCTGGCTGGTGTGATTCAGTTGGGTGGGTGGCATCTAGCAAACCAAAAGGTCGTCAGTTTGATTCCTGGTCAGGTACATGCCTGGGTTGCAGGTTCAGTCCCTAGTTGGAGCTGCTTTACAGAAGGCAGCCAATTGATGTTTCTCTCGCACATCAATGTTTCTTTACCTCTTTCTCTTTCCCTTCCCCTCTAAAATTAAAAATTAAAAAAAAAAATTTTAAATGAATAAGTATATCCTCGGGTGAGGATTTTTAAAAGTGTGTAAAAAACCAATATACTATTTCACATAGTTATGACTGTAAACCTACTTCTGCCCTACCTGTAAGGGGTGGGGGACTCCAAAAAACCCAGAATTATCTTATGGCGGGCAGGCAGGCTTCCCCCAGTAGGTAAGTGTTCTAAGAACCCATCTGTATCAGTGTACCAGCTGGTGTTGTTGTGAGAGGTTGTCTTTGGCTTCAGTGACTTTTTTTTTAGAAGACTTGCAACACATTTGCCCATTTCATGATGGGTGATTTACAAGCACACCCGCCCACAACTGTGCTGAGTGTTCCGCAGTTTGCAACCAAAAACAGCATGACCCCTGTGCTCCACTCTCCCTGTTCACCAGATCTTGCCCCTGGAGAGGTGTTTTTTTTTTTTGTTTCCCCAGATGAAAAAATCCCTTGAAGGGAAATGTTTTGCCAATGTGGAAGAGGTGAAACAAAAAAAGTCACAAGCACTAAAAGGCATCAAAATTGAGGAGTTCAAAATGCATCAAGTAGAGAGTACTTTGAAGGTAACTAAAGTCTAAACATTTAAGAATACACAATTTTTTATAAATAAATTCTGGGTTTTTGGCGTGTTCAAGGTGTTTTTGATGATCCTCCCAATCTCATTTCTATCCCCAGCCCAGAAGTAATGCCTATCTTTACTATTGGATATCCTTCTAGTTTTCTTACTTTCTTTCTTAAGAAATAAAATTTAACAGATAAATCTATCTTTAACTGCCCATTTCCTACCCCAATACCATTTCTCTCTCCTCTCATCACTAGAATGAGTTTGGAGTTTACCTTCCTGATCCTTTTTAAATTAAATACCATGCTTTTATATACATTTGTAAAAATCCCTAACCAATATACAGTAGTAATGTTTTGAGGTTTTTATCTCCAAAGTTTTATATTTTTAAATAAAGAACATGGGAGTGTGTTTTATATACATATTAAATGTGCATTTTAAAGCATATCCATAGGAAAAAAGACTGGCAGCAAACAAGATAAAATATAAACAATTGTTTATTCTCAGTATCAATAATTACATATGATTTTTCAACATACATAGCTAGTGTAAGTGCTTATTTAGTTATTTATTTTCCCCTACAATACAAGTCTTGTGAGAACTTGTTTAAAGAATGGAAAGAGCCTGTGCAACTTTTATGCTCCAGTCACTCAGGTGACACTGTTTCATAGTGGGATTAGATTTCCAAGCTAAATATTTTCTAAGAATTAGTGGAAGGGAAGAAGCAGATTTTGTCTTGGGTGACTAACAATAACCTCTTACCTGCTATGAGGACAGACGCTGTATATTTATATTTGTTGAATTCCAAATACTCCCGAATTAATTCATTAATAAGAAGGTTTTCATGAGACAACGTTGGTCGGGGTTCACTTTCATCATCTAGGGCTTTGAAAACTTCTGCTCGAATGCTCGCTTTTAAATGCCCTAAGACTCCCCTTTTTTCCAAGGTATCCTTTAAAACTGTTAAACAGAAAACATTAATGCTTCAATTGTAGAATAAATTTTGTCATTTCTAGACTTACTTTAAAGAGAACAGTTTAAAGGGTAAATGACCTAACAGCAGCTTTCAATATAAACATTGCGATGAACAATTACCACATTAGCTACCACAAGCCATACTTGTAATAAAAAATAAAGTTCCCAGGTTGCAATGATTTACTATTTTAATATACTTAAGCAAATTCAAGTTTATCCTTCCAACATTGTCACTGACAGCTACAGTCTGATATATATTATTCAGTGAGTAAAAAAGTGGAGACAGAACTACAGCCAAATACTGGGACCTGAACTTAACCCTCAGTGTCTCATATATTTTCTAGAACGTTTGTCACTGCAGACAGGTTCTGTATCACTAAAACCCTCTGGTCTAGAAAGATGATTAAAGACTACAAGTACAGTCCATAAAAGGAAGGATGTGTTCTGTGTTGTATGTAAAAACCTTTGCTATCCAGAACTCTTGGGGGATGGCCCATTCTGAATGAAAAGGTAGGTTCTGGGGTTTTTTTAATTTTACTTATTTACTTTTTGGAGAGAGGGGAAGGAAGGGAGAGGGAAAGAAACATCTGTGTGCGAGAGATACATAGATCAGTTGCCTCTTGCACGCCTCCTACTGGGGACCGGGCCTGCGACCTAGATATGTGCCCTGTCTGGGAATCAGACTGGCACTCAATTCACTGAGCTACACTAGCCATGGCTGTTTTTGTTTTTTAAAGACAATTATGAGTTAATTCCTGAAAATAACAGGAGTTTGAAATTTTAATCCTAGTTAGGAATCTAACACAGAGTATATCACTGCCATCTTAAGAAATTGGGGATATACATGCTGAATGTAACCTAACTTAATGAGCAAGGGTCATTATTACCAATATCAGTAGTTGTGATAATGAGGTTTAGCAATAAATACTAGTAAGGAGAGTAAAGGCATAGGGCTGTATTGGCACCATCCATTGCAGGGGTTTGGAACCTTCTTTTTTCAAATTGTCCCTAATAGCTAAATAACAACTCCAGAGAATCAACACATTTCACTCTTAGTGCCTAGAATATAGAAAGAGTTCAATAAGGTCTACCTAGGAGCATTATAACACAGTGAGGCATACTACTTGGGTGTAATAAATACAGTTTAACACTGGGCTGTGCCCTGTTGAAGGCACCAGATAAGGACACAATAATGAAAATTCATAAAGAGAGCTCAGGAACATCAATATTTTTTAAGCTTTGATAAGTAACAACAAAAACCTGGTCATATGATTAAATAGATACAATCCAGACTAGACTCTAACCTTTCTTACCCTTATTTTAAAATCATTACCTCAAACATTCTGCAGGTATGTTAAGTGCAAAGAGTTTCACCAAATCATATTTTGTAAAAGGCTCATAAAATGAAGGTACTACCTTATCATATCCTTGGGATCATAACTGAAACCCTGTTCTCTAATTCCGTCTTTGGAAATTGGACAGAAAGATTTTCTCCACTGGCAAAGATCTTGTCTCAATTACTCCATATTTGCTCAGAGCACAGCCTCAGACTCAACAGAGAAGGGAATGAAATGAAGCTGGAGTTAAGACACCTAACATATCTTATCACCACCGCAGTGGTAGATCACCAACTTGTACCTTTTACTAAACCCTTTTCCAACATGAGTTCTACCTCTCAAGAGACAGAACCAAGTGAAGCAGGAAATTGTGAAAGTGCTTAAAAAAAGGTAAAAACTCACAAAACATAAGTGATTGGCAAACATTTTCACTGGCTTTCTCTTGAACACAAAGCACATTCAGAACTGGGGAGTGCAGAAAAAACATGAAAGGCTTCCTACGTCTTGTGGAGAATGTCCCTAATTTCCAAAGTTCTTCTATGGTTCCATATCATATTGCCCCTCCCCTCTATCATCGTGCTTAAAACACTGTACTGTAATAACTTCTTGAGAAAGAGGTTCTTAACCTGGTTAATATCCCTGAGTATCTAAGTCCTCTAAAGTTGTATGCAATACTATGCGTGAGGTGTTTCCTAGGGAGAGGGTTCGTCAGTTTATGTGAAGTCTATTCTTGTGGATAAAGGCATGCCGTTTTTGTGACTGTTCACCAGCCCGGAGCCACAAACATACATTTATTTCAATGGTTACCAATTCTCTCAAAAGAACTCAACCCCTCCTGGCCAAATCTCTAAGAATGACGGACTTAGGCCCCACGCTCCCTGAAAACTGGAGCTGGTTTTTAACTGAACAGCAGTATCACCCAGTGATTAAGACCTGAGCTCTGGTGCAGCGTTATCTAGTTGGCACACTCAACCTCTTTCCAGCTAAAGCACTTTGGACGAACTATTTCACCTCTCAGCATCTCAATTCCCTAATCTATGAAATTGGCAAAGGATTGTTACATGGAATCAATTAGATAACACAGGGGCTAGGCAGTGCCTGACGTATAAAGCTCAGTCACTGTAACTATAATTACTAATACCTGTCTGGACACCTGCGTCAAAAATAACGGCGTACAAATGTTCCCGGCTTAAGGGGTCTCACTTCTGCGGGACTTTTTCCGAAAAAGACAGAATGGCCAGGCCAGGCAACTTTTCCCCTTCAGTTTTCCCATTGGAAAACTGGGACCTACCTCCCAGGTTGTAAGGGTGTAGTGCGACAACCAACCAAATGGCTCAGGATTGTGCCTAACACCAAGAATTGTTGTGGATGCTGTAAACATGAGCCCCGCATGAAAGACCCCGGCCAAGCCCTCGACTTCAGGCAGGGTCTAGAAAAATGCGCCAGAAGCCCAAGGTGCAAGACTGCAGACCTCTCGAGAACCTGCAGGTTGCGTGACTCGTGCCCCAACGCAAAGCCGGTTAAAAAATTGGCCCGTGCAACCCTTCCCCTCACAGGGTCCTGGAGCAGCGGGCGCCACACCAGCTGGCCCCGCAGGCCCTGACACCTCAGAACGACCACTGGAAAGGCTGACTACAGCTCCACTCGTCCCCCTTTGGTCCTATACTTTTCAAAGGCTGCAGAACAGGTGCATTCCACCTGGCAAGCCTCCCACTCTCACTCACCAGCCTTCAATTCGGTGACAGTCGCCATTTTTAACGGCCGCCACGGGCGCGCCTCGGCCGAGCGCACGCGCAGCCCCGCCCCGCTCTCCTCACGGCGTGGTCTGTAGCCAATAAACGCACAGCTCTCGCCGCACCCAGTCCCACCCCTCTCAGTCTACGCTCTCCGCGTGTGCGTGGATGAGGACCCCTCAACAATCAGAGAGCACCCTAGGCTGTCCCTGCGGACGGAGGAGGGAGGGGGAGCGCAAACTGAGGCAGGTCTGAGCCCTTACCTGTGGGTGCTGCTTAACTTGAGCTCAGTAAGCCTTTCATGATCTGCCTGCTGCTGGACTCTGCACCCTCAAATACTAATTATTAATAGTCACCATGTATTAAGCCTGAGGTTCTCAAGCTTGAGCATGCATCAAAAGCATCAGGAAGACTTGTTAAAACAGATAACCCTGGAGTAAATTCTGATTCAGTAAATCCGTGGTGAGATCCAAGAATTGCATTTCTAACACTTTGCAGGTGATGCTGATGATGCTGGTCTGGGATCACACCTTGAGAACCACTGTATTGAGTGCTTAACTCAGCCTGGCACTGTGCTAAACGCTTTATAGACGTTGGGTCATGGATATTTCTAGTATTACTCCCACTTTACAGAGGAGAAAACTCAATCTTTGATGACTGAAGAGACCAAAATCACCAGCAAATGATGGTGGTGAGATTTGAATCCAGGACTCTTGCTCTTCAAAGCTTGTTCTCTACCACTGATACTTAGTATTACTAAACAATATAAAAGGTATCTAGGAGCTATTTGTGAAAGTAATTTTTTAAAAAAAGACTGACTTTTAAAAAAATGATTTTAGAGAAAGAAGGAGGAAGAGAGAGAGAGAGAGAGAAACATCCATTTGTTGTACTTACTTATGTATTCATTAGTTGATTCTTGCATGCACCATGACCAAGGATGAACTCACAACCTTGGTTTATGAGGATGATGTTCTAACCAACTGAGAGCTAAGTGGCCAGGGCCTATTTGTGAAAATAATTGGTGAATGAATAAGCTCTACCAGACCAAGGAAAGACAAAGGAACATGGGAATGATGTGCCCAAAACTGAGTTTGAGTTTCTGTGATTCCAGCTGTGTTGCCAAGAAGGCCAATATCTGTGACCTCAATCCTAGAACAGCACTCTTTAAACTGCTGGTTTTAACCCAATAGTAGCTTTTGAAATCTATTTATTAGTGGATTCCAATGAGTGTATTTTCAATGAAATGGAATGGAGTGAATAGAAAACAATGTTGTTTTTTTCATACTTCTGTCTGGGATATATATGTATATTCTGGTTTCTGGTATTAAGATGAGTAGCAGTCAGGAAGTTTGAAAGCCATTATAAAGTAGAGGAATCCATTCCTGTTCCAGACTAAATTAATTTTCACCTGGGACACCGATCTGTTGTTACATTAGTAAAGTCCTGTCACACTTCCTTGTTCTGTAAAACCCACAATGTCTAACTCCCTGGCCAGCATCTGAAGAGATTTATAAGGATTAACTACATTCCATGGGTAAAATGTTTGAGCTCTTCAGAGAGAAGCATTCCTGAATATACTGATAAGAAAGAGAGAGAGAGAGAAACAGGATTGATTGATTAGTAGTGGTAATCATACAATAATTAACAGTCCTTACCACTCTCTGTGTGGCAGGCACTGCTCTAAAAGCTTTACTTTAAGTCCTCACCAACAACTGTATGAGGTAGATACACAACAGTCATCTAAAGTAAAATTTCATCTAAAAACATGTACTGAAATTGGGTAACACACTATGTTGGTGAGGATGTGGGGAAACATGCATTACCATACCTAGCTGGTAGGCGAGTAAATTGGCCTCACCTTCTCAGGAGGCTGTTTGGCAATACCTTATCAACGTTTCACACCCTTTCATCCATCCATTCTAGTTTTAAGAACATATAGTACAGATATATTCCCACCTAATCATGAACAATATGTGTATAAGAATATTCATCGTAGCATATTTATAGTAGGAAAGTCTATCTACCTATCAGAATGGCTGAAATAAGAACAACTGACAATAAGAAGACTGAATGCTGGGGAATATGCATATCTTGCTGGTGGGAAAACAAAGTGGTATAGTCACTTTAGAAATCAGTTTGGCAACTGCTTATTAAGTCAAACATGCACTTACCATACAATCCAGTAATCCCACTCCTAGGTGTTTACACAAGAGAAATAAAAACTTGTGTCCATACAAAAAGCAATATGCAATAATAAAAACAGATTTATTCATAATTGTTCCAACTGGATATGACCCATTGTTTTCCATCTGGTGAGTGATTATAAACTAGCTGTGGTATATGAGGGGGGACCCAAAAAACAACAGCATTTATTTATAAAAAAGTTGTGTATTTACTTATTTATTTGAGAGAGAGAGAGAGAAATCGACTTGTTGTTCTACTTATTTATGCATTGATTCATTGATTCTTGTATGTGCCCTGACTAGGAATCAAACTGGCAACCTCAGCATATCAGGACAACCCTCTAACCAACTGAAGTACCTGGCCAGGGTAAAAAATTGTGTACTTATTTTTACATGTTTAAACTTCAGTCACCTTCAAAATATTCTCCATTTGATGCAATATACCTCAAGAGATGGTTTTTCCACTACTCAAAACAGTTTTTGAACTCATTGATTTTGATGCCTTTTAGTGCTTCTGCCTTTTTTTTAATTCATCTCTTCCACATTGGCAAAATGTTTCCCTTTGAGGAATTATTTTTCATCAGAGAAACAAACAAAAAGTCACTTTGGGCAAGATGGGGTGAACAGGGAGGGTGGCATACAGGTGTCGTGCTGTTTTCGGTCAAAAACTGCTGAACAGTCAGCATGGTGTGGGCAGGTGGGCTCATAAATCACCCACCATGAAATAGACAAACACATTGAAAGGGTCTTCAAAAAAAATTCAGAGTCGGAGCGCAGCCTCTCACAATAATGTCAGCTGGCACACGGATACAGATGGGCTACTAGAACACTCACCTAGTGGGGGCAGCCTGTACTACAAGGGATCTGCCCTCCAGAAGATAATTCAAATTTTTGGGGGGGTCTCCCTGTATATATACCGAGCAATATCAATCAGTAATAAAAAAGAACCAACCATGCATACATGCAACAATATGGAGGAATCTCAAATACACTGTGAAGTGAAATAATCAAGACTTACCTTGGCCTGGGTGGCTGTTGGTTGGGCATTGTCCCACAGGGTGGGACCAAGGTCTCTGGTTCAGTTCCTGGTTGGGACACATGACTGGGTTGCAGGCCAGGTCCCCAGTAGGGGGCACATGAGAGACAACCACACAGTGATGTTTCTGTCCCTCTCTGTCTCCTTCCCTTCTCTTCTGTCTAAAAATAAATAAATAAATAAATCTGTCTCAAAGAAAAGAAAAGAAAAAAGAAGCCAGCACTGAAAGGCAGTCCTGACCTGTGTGGCTCAGTTTGTTTGATTCCTGGTCAGGGCACATACCCGGGTTGCGGGCTCAATCCCTGTTCCGTCAGGGCACATACGAGAAGGCGACTAATTGATGCTTCTCTCTCACATCGATGTTTCTCTTCCCTCCTCACCCCCCACAAAAAGCAATGAAAAATGTCCTCGGGTGAGGATTCAAAAAAGAAAAAGTAATAATAATTTCTAGAAAAGAAAAAGCAGCCACTTGGTGTTCCTGTCTTGCATTGATGTTTCCTTCCCTCTCCGAAAGAAAAGAAGGATGGATGGAAGGAAGGGAGGGAGGGAGGAAAGAAGGAAAGAAAGAGAAAGACTCAAAGGCTGCATCCTCTAGGGTTCAATTTTGAAAAAGGCAAAGTATATGGATAAAGTATGTATATATATATTACATTTTGGAAAAGGCAAAGTATAAAGAAAAAAGCAGATCATTGATTGCCAGGCTGAGGATGAATTAAGGGAGCTGGCTACAAAGGTTCACTAGAGAGATTTTTTTGTTTTTAATTCTCTCCCAAGAATACGCTTAGAGAGAGGAAGAAACATCCATGTGAGAGAAACATCAATCAGTTACCTCCCATACATGCCCCTACTAGGGATTGAACTCAAAATCTAGGTACGCCCCCTGACTGTTAATCGAACCCACAGCATTTTGGGGTATGGGATGATGCTCCGACCAACTGAGCCACCCAGCCAGGGCAAGAGAGAGAGATTTTTGGAGTGATGGAACTAGTCTACATCTTGGCTGTTACTATGCAATTGTATATGTTTACCACAATTTATAGAGCTGTACATTTAGAGAAATAAATTTTACTGCATGTATACTTCAATCAATTTGACTTAAAAAATTACTGGAAATACCAATATTATCAGTAGGGAAACTGGTTAAGTAAATTAAAGTAGAGCCATGAATGAAATATTATGCAGTCATTACAAAGAAGAAGGAATTCTAAACACATATGTAATTATCAACAAGGTGCATAGATATAAATTTTAAAAAGCATAGTCCAGTAAACATTGTGTAGTATGCCACCAATGGTTTAAAGAAAGGGGAAATACTATTTGTTTCCCTACACATGGGCTACCTCTGAAAGATATGCAAGAAAGTATAAACAAAAATTGCCCCTATGGAAGAGGACTGGGTGACTAAGAGTCAGTGGTCAGAGAAAGACTTATTTTCCAACCCATAGAATAACTTCAAATCAAATTTCTAATTATGTGCATGCATTACTGTGCACAACCAGCTGTGTGCAGGTGCTCTTGACTGCCTTGAATATCTTGACACATAATTCCTAAAATGTGAGAAAGTTAATCCCTCCCTTGATCAATGGGAGCCAATGGACAAGTCATATCTCAGGTGGACCTTTTTGACACATACTCTACATAGTTCCTTAGAGGGTCTCCAGTGGGATTGAATCCTAGTGCCCAGGGTGGTATCCAGGCCAATAACGTACCTTTGCATTGTTTACTCCTCCTTTCCTATTTCAGGCTCACAGTTTCCTCACTCCAATTTCCCAGAATTCTTCTCAAAATAAACTATTTGCAAATAAATCCTTGTCTCAGATTCTGCTTTTTG